TTACCTGTGTGCATATAGACATCATCGGACCTTTACCTCCCTCTGATAATTTTCGCTATTGCCTCACCGCCGTCGACAGATTCTCCCGATGGCCTGAGGCGATACCGTTGCAAGAAATAACAGCCGAAACAGTCGCCAAAGCACTGGTCTTCAACTGGATCTCGCGCTACGGATGTCCCACTGAAATAGTGACAGACCGTGGCAATCAATTTGAATCCGCGCTATTCAAGCAGCTTTCAGAACTTGTTGGATTTCAACGCAACAGAACTACTGCGTACCATCCCGCAAGTAATGGTATGGTTGAACGAATGCATCGACAATTAAAAGCAGCCATAATATGTCATGAAAGCCAAAAGTGGACAGAAAGCTTACCTTTAGTACTGTTGGGAATGAGGAGTGCCTTTAAAGAGGACATACAAGCATCACCCGCTGAACTACTCTACGGTGAGCCTCTTAGACTACCTGGAGAATTTCTGCACTTAAGCACGACGCAGCATACATCCAGCGACTTTAGGGAATTTACCACACGACTTCGTTCCATTATGAATAATATCCGCCCGCAGCCAGCATCAAGACACAGCAAACGCAACATCTTTGTATTCAGAGATTTATCATCCACCACGCACGTTTACGTCCGAGATGACACGGTGAGAGGATCGTTGCAGCCGGCTTATACCGGGCCATACGAAGTTGTACAACGAGGTGATAAAGTATTCAAACTGAAAATAAAAGGAAATGACCAAACAGTATCCATAGAAAGATTAAAATCTGCATATATACTCACCTCAGATACACATCCCGTGATAAGTCCAGATACTCGTCCAATAGCTAGAGAGAAAGCAAGTTCAACTCCTGCAAGCAAAGACGCAAACGTTAAAATGACACGTTCAGGCAGGAAAGTGAACTTCCCAGACTATTATCGCCCATCCTAGGATGGTCTCAAGGGGGGAGTAATGTGGCGTAGCCACTATACCACAAAGCATATATATATAGTTATTATAAACATTAACTTATCTATAAACATCATTACTAATAATATATACATATATATATATATATTAACTTTTACATAATACATATTTTATTAATTACCTAGCATCGGCAAACGACTAATCGTGGAGTGCAGCGGTAAACATCGATCGTGGTCGCATCGCTTAAACGGAGTCCTGCACTCAATAAACAAAAGGGTTCGAGTGTCGGCGCTGGCGCATTACGTATTAGCCGCGCACCCCTCAGTCCGCCTCATGAGTTCAACGCAGAAGCTCGCTAATACGTTGTGCATCCTTATCTTTATCATCATTGATTTCGTTCTACTAATTAAGTGATCATATTCTTCTATACTTGCGAACTTTATTGTATGTTGGTAAATGACAATATAGAAATTCCAAAGTAAGAGTGTCCAGTGTGTTATTTAAGGTGCACTTTAAAATATATACATCCGACACCATCATTGCCATTTACAAAACCTACAGGATAATCGACGAAACGCGTATATGTTTAGCCAACAGGAGAATTCTACAGTAAATACTTCGGATAATTGTCAAAATATAAAGCCATCCGTAGAGTTTTTTCGAGAATAATTTAACCCTAGATCACTAAACATTAGTCTCACAGGCTACACGACTCTGACGCATTCGCTGTTTATGTATGTTCCCGTTACCGCACCCCCCTCAGCCGCTCAGTACCTTCCTAATTCGGCCAATCAGTGACCCGTGAACTCGCATTGCATACGCACGCTTCCTACTTCCAGAGATATTACGCAATAGTAGTCTCTCAGGCTAATGTTTAGTAATTACGCCACAAAAGTGAAGAAAGGTAAGTTATGAAATATTTCTTTTTATTTACTATTTTATCTATAATAACTGATTACTGATTAATGTAAATGAATAATAAATATGTGTGATACTACGAGCAATATTTATTTTATGAACTTGTTTTCATTTTTTATTTTTTTATGAGATTTTGAACATTTTGTTTGAGCAGTATTTTCTGTTGCAGATGGATTTGATACGAGATCAAAATAAAATATTGCAGATTTTGAACGAGTCGGATAATGACGATGACGATTCACCATTTTTTGGACCATCTGGTGTGCCTTCGGACTCCGAACCTGATGACAACTTAGAGGAGGACTTAGTCGAGGATACCGACGAAATTGAAGATGATTCGTCGAGTTCTTCTGATGAAGATCTAAATGTTTCCCGGAGAAGCCGTAACAGAAACAGAATCCTAGATTCTGATGATGATTCTTTGGAGTGTTTGCAGCCTTGTCCACCCATAGCTTCTCACCAGGACCTGGTAATAGAACCTGAGAGACCATACATTTATGGAAAAAACAAACATAAGTGGGCAACTACTCCACGCTCTGCAAAACACTCGTGCATAGGCTCGAAACATTATTCATTTTGTATAGGACCTAACAGTGATGCAAGAGATTTGGTAGAACCAATTCCAATATTTCATTTGTATTTATCTGATGAAATGATTGACCAACTTGTTATTTACACAAATGCAGAGATTGAAATAAAAAAGGTGAAGTACAAGGAACTCACTCATACTATTTCTCCAACTTCAGCTATTGAACTAAAAGCTTTACTGGGTCTTCTTATGCAAGCAGCTGCTATAAAAAGTAATCATTTACCCACGAGAATGTTGTTTGATGCCAGAAGGAGTGGTAACATTTTCAAAGCCTGCATGAGCGCTGAGAGATTTGATTTCTTGCTTAAATGCCTTCGATTTGATGACAAAGCTACCAGACAAGACAGAAGAGCATCCGATAAATTTGCACCTATAAGAGAATTTTGGGAGAAATTCATTGGTCATTGCAAACAATGGTACAAGCCAAGTTCCTATCTGACAATCGATGAACAATTAGTTGGGTTCAGAGGGCGCTGCCCATTTCGAATTTATATACCCAATAAGCCTAACAAGTACGGCATGAAAATTGTAATGGTTGCAGATTCTAATTCAAAGTACGTTGTATACGTACTTTGAATTAGAATCTGCAACCATTACGCCTTATTTGGGTAAAGGAACCAATTGCGATAATATGCCTCTTGCCACACATTTTGTGAAACAACTTTGTGAGCCTGTCTATGGGACAAACAGAAATATTACGATGGACAATTGGTTCACTTCAGTGCCACTTGCTTCAGAATTACTTTAGGACCCGTATAAACTCACACTTGTTTGGACAATACGTAGTAATAAGCGAGAGATTCCACCTGAGATGAAAAACAAAAAATCAAGAAAGATTAATACTTCGATGTTTGCATTTGATGGTGAGAAGACTCTGGTCTCGTATAAACCGAAATCTAACAAGACAGTATTTCTTCTATCGACAGTGCACAATCAGCCAGACATTAACTCCACTTCGAAAAAGCCTGAAATTATACATTTTTACAATAGTACCAAAGGTGCTGTCGACACTGTCGACCAAATGTGCTCAGCTATATGTGTCAATCGCAAAACCAATAGATGGCCTCAATGCGTGTTTTATGATGTCTTGAACCTGTGCCTAATTAATTCATATGTCATCTATGTGTCGAACATGGTCAGAGAACGGCAAAAACCAATGAGACGTAGGACTTTCGTCCAAAGTTTAGCCGATAAGCTCATAGAGCCATGATTACGAGAGCGGTATAACACTGTCACTTTGAGGAGGGATATAAAAGCTAGTATCAAAGATATTTTAAAAATTGAAGATGCTACTCCTAGTACCTCTCAAGCGCAACAAAATAAGCGCAAAATATGTTCTTTTTGTCACAAAAAACACAGGATGACTAAATATGTTTGCAGCCGCTGCAAGACGGCGATTTGCGGGGAACATACGGTTCCAGTGTGTGCCGACTGCCAAGAATAATTTTTTTAACCTTTTGTTTTATTATGTGGTAATTTAAAGGACATTCCATATTTTAAGTAGACTTTTTCTAAATAAATACTCTAGTTTTGATAAATATTGCGGTTTTATTTTGTTAGTTTGTAGGACTAATGTTTAGTGACTGAGTTTGAAAAAAAAAAGTTTAGTGATCTAGGGTTAATATTATCATGTGACTATAATAATTTCATAGAATTTACAATACTCGGTACCAAATATAGGATGCTAGTTGACACGGGAGCCTCGATGTCGGTGATTAAATATGACACCGTAAGAGAGTGGAACATTCCGATGCATCCCGAATGCATAACCATTAATGGCATTGGCGGCAAATCGCACGCCGAAGGCTTTGTTTACATACCATTTTCCTTAGGTGGAAAAGAATTCAAACATAAGCGTTATGTTCCTCGAAATCTACCTTGCATCCAAGACGTTTTAATAGGGCGAGAATTTTTAACTAAATATTGTTGTATTTTGAATTATGAAAACAATACTATAACATTAAATAATTTAGATAGTTCTGTTACGATATCCTTAGGATTAGGAAAATTAGGTAAAAACACTTTCATTACGGTAACCCCTGTAGCATTTTGGAATGCATATCAACAAAAGTACCATAAATAATGACACTTAGTTTTTCTATTCTCTATGATCCTGTGTGATCAACTTCCTCTTCAGCAAAATGTAATGGGTGCAGGTGCGTTGCTCTGCTTATTAAGAGGTTATAGTTCACTAGCTGACAAGCGCAACTTCGTCTGAGTCTCTCAATAGTAATAAATTTTCTCCGTTTTTGAAACATTCTTCATTGGTGCTCCGCTCCTATTAGTCTTAGCGTGATAATATATAGCCTATATAGCCTTCCTCGATAAATGGGCTATCTAACACTGAAAGAATTTTTTAAATCGGACCAGTAGTTCCTGAGATTATCGCGTTCAAACAAACAAACAAACTCTTCAGCTTTATAATATTAGTATAGATAATAAAAGGTATTTAATTCCACATTAAAATTACAGGTTATGGGCCCAGCCCATCAGACCATAAAAATAAAAAGTAAAACCCTTGGAAGTGAATTAAAAAGAAAAACATTTTGTCGGAGACGCACGCCACGTGGTGCAGTGTAAAAATGGCGTTGTACAACGACGTAACAAAACTGTCTGGGAAGAACAACTTGGAGACTTGGAAGTTCGAAACAAGCATAGTATTAAAAGGCCTAGGATTGTTCGATATTGTATCTGGAAAATCACTAGAACCAAAAGAAGATAAGGCACTGGCCACATGGCTGAAATATGATGCCAAATCCCAGTCTGTTATAGTGACGCGCATGGAGTCAGGGCCGCAAATTCACCTACCATTATGCGATGGTGGTGGTGGATGGTGGTGGATGGTGCGTAACGCTAAACGCTGCCATATTCTCAAAAATCTGGATTGTACATCTGCTTCAGGTATCTGGAGGTTCCTTGGAACCCTAGGTATCGGCAAATCCGAAAAATGTAACCTTCCTTCTACCTTTGATTTGGATGAAATTAACCGTCATTTCTCCTCATCAATGCAGTTTTATCACCAAATCAAGTGTCGGACGTTACAGTTCTTGGCGGACCTACCCCGTCCAAATATTGAAGCTTTTCAGTTTTCTCCAGTGGAACCAGGTGTAGTCAAAAAGACAATCCTCTCAATCACATCCAACGCCATGGGATGCGATAACATTAACCGTCGCATGATCATCCCTATCCTCGATCACCTTCTTCCCGTGCTTACCCATATAACAAATTTTTCTCTTGACTCAGGAACTTATCCCACATCGTGGCGTAAGGCGTTTGTCATACCTCTTCCCAAGATCCCGAATCCAACACTCCTGAATCACCTACGACCAATCTCCATTCTTCCCTTCCTTTCCAAAGTCCTTTAGGCCTGTGTGAACCAACAACTGTCCCAACATATTTACCGCAACAATTTACTAAGCCCCTTCCAATCAGGGTTCAGGCCCGGGCATAGCACTACTTCCGCACTGCTAAAAGTGACCGGCGACATCCGAGCAGGAATTGAGAAATCCAAAGTTACTGTCTTGGCTTTGGTCGATTTCTCAAATGCATTCAACACCGTCAGTCACGATATCCTTATATCTATCCTTCCCTATCTTATGATTGCGCCTGATACTCTGGAATGGTTTTCCTCATATCTTCAGGGTCGCCAGCAGTCTGTCCGCGTCGATGAAGTCTCTTCAAGTTGGCGTGAGCTTGACTGTGGTGTCCCTCAAGGTGGCATCCTCTCTCCTCTATTATTCTCAATATTTATCAATCTTTTCACCCCGAATCTTCAATGTGCGTACCATCTTTATGCCGATGACTTGCAACTCTATTATCAAGCTTCGACAGACGACATAAATGGGGCCATTTCTATGGTTAACAATGACCTGGAGGCTATTAGCAGTTGGGCTGATGGGTTTGGTTTGGCAGTGAATCCAGCGAAATGCCAAGCCATCATCATAGGCAGTCCGCGCATGACTGGAAGGATGGATCAAAACAAACTGCCACCCATTACTTATAACGGCACAGTCATTCCCTTCAGTCCCTCTGTTAAGAACCTAGGCCTATTTATCGACTCCAAGCTCAGCTGGCAAACCCAGGTCACCAGCGTTAGCCAGAGAGTCACGGGTACGCTACGAGCCTTCTATCGGCTTAAAAACTTCCTTCCTTCCGAGACAAAAGCGATGCTAGTACAGACTCTTATTGTCCCTATCTTGGATTATGGTGATGTATGCTATTATGACCTGAATGCAGATCTCCTCAATAAATACGACCGCCTTCTGAATAACTGCATTCGATTCGTCTTTAACCTTCGCAAATATGACCATGTTTCTTCCGCTCGTCGTGAATTGAACTGGCTCACGATTCGTCAGCGCCGTCAGCTGCACGCCCTCACCACCCTCTATTCCATACTCAACTCACCTATTTCCCCTTCCTACCTAACATCCTCATTTCATTTTCTATGTGCCAATCACAACAGAACTCTCCGTTCATTAAACAATCCACTTCTGTTATGCCCCACTCATACTTCCGCATGTGTCCACTCTTCGTTCTTAGTCCAATCTGTCCTCCTCTGGAACGCTCTGCCTTTGGAAATCAGGATAGCACCCAGTCGCCTCTCATTTAAGACGAAAGTCCGAGCTCGAATTCTCGACACTTTAGTAGACTCATCACATCCCTAAAGTCTTATATGTTATTATGTTAGCCTTGTATGTATTACTCAGCAAGTATATATATGTATGTGTATCTCAGTATGTATGTAACCTAATTTTAATTTCATGCACCTACTCAGACATTTCCCCACCACCCAAAGGTAGACTGAGAGAAAATGCCTTTGGCATTAAGTCCGCCATTGTACTTTGTTTGTGCAAAAAAAATTAAAATAAAATAAAATAAATAAACGCTCACCTGATGTGGAAAAAGTTAATAGCGTGTACATCTACTACAGCAGAAGTTCTTCAACATATCTTTTGAAGATACTGTACTTAATCTTCTGTCTAAAATTGAAGAAATAAGGGTAAAACTGAAACAAGCAGGAGATGAAATTTCAGATAAAATGACCATTACTAAAATATTGATGTCGCTACCTGACAAGTATAAGCATCTGCTAGGGAATCTGTTCCGCCGGAGAAACAAAGTTTGGAAGAACTTACTACCAGACTCCTATTGGAAGAAGAACGCTGTGAAAACGATAGTAATGAGGTCGCCGCAGCGCTAGTGATCAGGGCTATTAAATGTTTTCTCTGCGGTGGAATCGGACATTTTAGCGTAATTGCCATAAGAACAAGAACAATGGTACAAAATACCAAATATGTAACAAGTCAAACCACCAAACTAAAAACTGATTTTTTTTAGAAAGAAAAACGATAATAAAAATAAGCCTGAAGAAACCATAGCTCTAGTAGCAGGTGAAGAATTTAAAGATAGTGACTGTTGGTATATGGATAGTGACTGTACTCATCATATGTGTAAAGATATACAATATCTTGAAAACTATGAGAAGACTAATCATGTCAGCTTGGTGCAAGTGGGGGATGGAGCTAAAGTTCATGTCATGGGTGTAGGAAACATAAAAATGAAAGCATTTAATTCCAAAGATTGGTCACTAGTAAACCTTGAAAATGTACTTCACGTTCCTGATATGAGAGCAAACCTATTTTCTGTCACATCAGCTTTGGACAAAGGACTTAACATGATTTCCACTAGTGATGAAACCAAGTTCTTGAAAAACAATAAATGTATAGTGATAGCTAAACGCAAAGGAAAGTTGTTTAAAATGATTTTTTGGTAATATTCAAACTCAAACTTTCTTTATTTCATAAAATTTCCAAAATTGTTTGAAATCGTCTTCCATGTAGACTCTAAAGTCATAGATCAACACACACAAAAGCAACAATCTCCGTTTTGTCAAATAGTAACCAAATAAATTTAACAAAAATCAACCCATACAAAATCTATGATATGCCTGTGCCGATCTACAACCGCCCGTTTCCAAGGGGTTGAGCCTTAAGAGAAGAAAGGGCAAACAAACTCATGGCCACTCTTTTGCAATTCACAAGTAGATACAATGGCACTATTAAATATACCACAAAATTGTTTTGATGTGTGCTAGTATGTCCCGTTATTAAGGACTAAAAGGTGAAAAGACAATGAAGAGAAAACAAGATTAAGAAGAAAAAAACGAATACAAGAGAAAATAAAGTGAAACATAAAAAATAGAAAAAAGAATAATAATAAAAAACATACTAGCCACACCACATTTTTACTTAAGAAAGAAATAGCCTGCGCTAATTAATCCCAAGCATTCTTGTCCTCCATGTAATCCACAATCGAGCCACTGTCATTATATTTATTTCTTTAAATTTCTGCCTCAATGAATAACGATTGCCTAAATTATAAAGTGCTCGAATCGCTCTCTTTTGCAGCACAAAAATAGTTTGAATGTCGGCGGCATTCCCCCACATCAGAATACCGTACGACATTATGCTATGAAAGTAACTGAAGTAAACAAGTCGTGCTGTATCAACATCAGTCAACTCTCGGATTTTTCTTACTGCGTATGCTGCTGAGCTGAGTCTACTCGACAATTTATCAATATGTGGGCCCCACTGTAGCTTAGAATCTAGTGTTATACCTAAAAATGTCGTAGTGTCCACAAGGTCCAGCCCGACATCCTTAATTATCACAGTAGTTTTCACTGGCTTGACGTTTGGCATAGTGAAACGTATACACTTAGTTTTTTTGTTCATTTTATAGTAAATTGTTGACGTCAAACCAATGAACCACTTTCGAAATGGCGCTGTTTACAAATGTGAAATCAGAAAGTGTCCGTTTAAGTCTAAATAATAGTGATGTATCATCTGCAAACAACACAATCTCGAGATTGTCCTTGACAAAGTGAGGTAAGTCGTTAATATATACTAAAAACAAAAAAGGGCCGAGAATAGAACCCTGTAGAACGCCCATTTCTACCTTAGAGCCTGGAGACCGCTCACCATTAATATCAACTTTTTGAATCCTATTACATAGATATGAGGCAAGCAGTTCCAAGTAGTTCCAGTTCCAGCTGTAATTTCCTGATCAGCGTTTCATGAACAACACAATCAAAAGCCTTAGATAAATCGCAAAAGATACCTAGAGAATCGTGGGCATCCTCCCAGGCATCAAATATATGTTTTACTAGCTCAACACTGGCATCAGTTGTGGAGCGACCCCTTGTAAAACCAAATTGTCTATTGTGTAATAAATTATTATTATTAAAAAAACTTTGCAATTGATCATACAATTTTTTTTCAAAAATCTTACTAAGTACTGATAGTACTGAGATAGGTCTAAAGTTAGTTGGGTCAGATGTACTACCAGATTTGAATAAGGGAATAATTTTACTAGACTTCATAAGATCAGGAAATACACCACTATCAACACATTGATTAAATGTAAATGACAATTGATTAGCCACAAGAGATATAATTGTCTTAGTAATTAAAACAGAATTTCCCCATAGGTCGGTTGTTTTTTTAACATTAATAGTGTTAAAGGCTTTAATAATTTCAAAGGGGGGCACATATTGGAACTTAAATTCACTATCAATTCTTCTAACATTCTCTTTTAAAATTGATTCTGCAAGGTATGGTGAGGAGTTCAAAGATTTAGTAGTTGATACAGGAATGTTAGTAAAAAAATTCTCAAATGCAGCAGCATCAGCATTTGATGTGATAAATTTATTGTTAATGTTTAAATTAAATTCATTATCACGGTATTGATCTTTGCCAGTTTCACTGTTAATAATTTTCCAAGTGGTTTTAATCTTATCATTACTACTTTTAATCTTTAAACTTATAAAACGAGACTTAGCCAGTTTACAAAGTTTCCTAAACAGCTTCGAATATTCTTTAACATAATTATGAAACTGTTCACTTTTATTATAATTCCTCTCATCGTATAGCTCGTATAATCTTTTCCTACTTTTGAGTAAGCCAGGGGTAGCCTATTCACTAAATGTGGCGTTACTTTTAACCCCTAGCGTTTTTGGTGTAAAAATGGTGTTAAATGATAAGAAACAGTTTCAAAAAAACTATTATAATAAGTATTAGGGTTATTCTCTACATAGAGTACTGAATTATTAAAAGCAGCTTTAAGTTTATCCTTAAAGTTTTCACAACGCTTTGCTGTTTTAGGTATCACCACAATTCTTTTTTCTGACACTTTTTCATACCTATCACAGAAAGATACTAGTTGACCACAGTGGTCAGAATGTAATTGATTGATTATTTTGTTGTCCTTAATTACAATATCTGTAAAAATATTGTCCAAACATGTGGCAGTGGTGGCAGTGATTCGTGTAGGCTCCAAGAACAAATTCTTCAGATTGTATAACTGAAAAAGTGCCTTGAACTTGGTTACTATACTTGAATTTTCCAATAGGTTAATATTGAAGTCACCACAGATGATGACCTTCTTTTTTGATCTTGTTACTTTAACTAATACTTCATCCATAACACGTTAAAAACAATCATACATAGCTGAGGGAGGTCTGTATACACATACTACTATGAAACCTTTTAGTTCTAAACAGGCTATTTCTATTGGAATTGCTTATTGTAGTGTCAATGTGATTCCAGGTTCATTGAACTCGGATCTGTCAGATGTAAACAACAATTATTGTGACAATAAATGTGAGACATTTCAGCTTCATAAAAGGCTAGCTCATCAGAATTTCAATTATATTAAGAGATTACTAAGTAAAAATAACATGCAGAGTTGTGTGAAAGAACATTTTTGTGACTCTTGTGTACAGGGAAAACATTGCAGAAAGCCACACCCTAAAAGTGAAAATAAAACATATAACCTTGGTGAATTAATCCATGCTGACTTGTGTGGCCCCATGGAGATAAAATCAATTGGAGGTTCAAGATATTTCTTATTAATTAATAATGACTATTCACATTTTCGCACTGTGTATTGCATTAAAGAGAAAAATGAAGTTTACTCAAAATTGAAGATATTCACTGCTTCATGTAAAAACAAGGACATAAATATAAAAATAATAAGAACTGATGGAGGTGGAGAATTTGTGAACAACTCAGTTAGAAACATGTTAGAAGAACATGGTATTACTTATCAAGTCACTGTAGCATACACACCAGCGCAAAATGGAAAAGTTGAAAGAGAAATGCGAACAGTGATGGAAGCAGCAAGAACTACGAGTATGCTAATTGATAAGTGTTTACCTAAAAACCTTTGGGCTGAAGCTGTCATCACAGCAGTTTTCACACTAAACAGAAGTGGTACAAGTTCAATTGAAAATAAAACTCCTTATGAGCTATGGTGTAAAAAGGAGTCCGATATAAAGTGGTTGACATTACAATTTGGAGCTACAGTATGGGTACACATACCAAAACAGAAAAGACTAAAATTAGACAGTAAAAGTAAAAAGGGTTTGTTTGTTAGCTATGGAGAGACCACCAAAGGTCATAAAATCTATTATCAAGAGAGTGGGAAATTTTCAATGGAACGAGAAGTAGTTATTGTGCCTACACTTAACTCAGAAAATAAATGTATAAAAGCGAGTAAAACAAAGTTTATTAAAACTGGACAAGACTCAGATATACTGAATTCAGATATCTGCAAAGACATAAATAATCTGTAGGGTTCGGCGTAGGATGTCCAAAGGAAAGACGACTGTTCAGTATAAAGTTATATGTTTTAATAATAATATATCGGTTACATTGTCCTTTATATACTTTGAGTACACACTTACATACACTATTATCTATACATAAACTATTCATACACCACACGTCCGGGGGACATGAAAAAAATAATAATTAGGCACGATTATTATTTTTTTATAAGTAAGTAACACATAAAATTAGATTATCTTATATAATTTTGTTCTATTTTTATGAACAAGTTTTTCAATGTTATTATATTTTATTAATACATTTGGATCTACGTCCTTGATTACCTCAAAAGGACCCAAATACAATGGATCTAACTTAGTTTTACATGCTTCATTCTTAACTAATATTAAATCACCTGGATTATAATTAACAACGTTTGTATATGAATCATAACGTAATTTCCTTAACTGCTTACTGTTTTCTAAATTACACTTAGCCTCTAATTGCGATTTTTGAAGCCTGTATTTGAGTACATTAGGATAGTCATTAAAATTGTACAATGGATCTAATGTATCAGTTAAATTACTTGGAATGTTACATCTTTTCCCAAATACAAGTTCGTACGGGCTATATTTAGTTTCTGTGTGTATATTAGTATTGAACGCAAAGCACCAGTAGGGTAACCATGATGACCAATTTTCACTATTGTTATTAGTCATTGTTCGTAAATAGGATATTAAGTTTTTATGGCTATTTTCAAGTCCACCTATAGTTTGATGATGATAAGCTGTTGACTGTAAGTGAGAAATATGTAATAATTTACATACATCGTGCATAACTGTAGAAATAAATTCGGTACTACCTTTGTCTGTTATGATTTCGCGTGGAGTTCCGTAGCGTAACATGAAATTATTTACAAACGCTGTTGCCACGGTCACACTATCTTTTGATGTAATAGGATACGCCTCGACGTACTTACTCAAGTCGCACTGAAGCGTTAAAATATACTTATAATCATTATTATCATTACTTATAGGGCCCACTAAATCTAAAAATACTCTATCGAACGCTGATTTACCTGTATTGGTAATAACCATCGGCTGCTTTGTATACTTAAAATGCTTCTGTCTTTGACACTGGTCGCATCTGGTAACGAATTCCGTAACGT